GTTGAAAGTGGCTTTCTATTTCGAATGTTTTGTTCGATTTTTTCGAATTTGTTCGAATTAAATTTGAACATAAAATTCGAATTGGTTCGATTATAGAACGATTGTAAACGTTCCAGAAACGTTGAAATTTGTTCGTTTGACTAAACGTAAAAATTCTCTAATTAGTCTGGAAACGGGGGACCTAATTCTTGCATTTTGTGAATACGGGTAAGATTAGCTATAATGTAATTATCTTAATCTTCACTATCGTTGCTTTTTGCCCAGCGAAGCGAGTCCTTGCAGCTAGATTCTAGATTACTTAGAAAAACAGTCTTTTATATATATATAAAAAACTATATTACATAAAAATAAAAACCAAGCGAAGCGGGATCTTGCAGCTAGTAACAAATAAAACAATATAAATATTATGTCCCAATAAATATAATAATTATGAAGTAAGAATGGTTTCATTACTAACCAAAATCGTAATAAACATTACTAATTGTTGGTAATAATTTTATTGTGCCTTATACTTTTTTAACTGTTAGGTATACATAATAACAGAAAGTATCAGAATTGCGTCACAAATGACCTTTCGAGTTTTTTGCAAATCTTCACGTACTATTTGAGTTTAAGACCTTCTTAACCCCAAAAAGTAAAAAAAAAACCAAAAAAAAACAGAAAAAAGTACATGGATAAGAGTGTCTTTGCATTTATTCCGCTTAATATCTCAGGATGGGTGACGATTAATAAAGGCAATTTTTGCACGTTGCTTGTAGGGGCATTTTAGTGGTTAAAGGTCAAGAGAGAGAAGGGATAGAAAGATGTCATGTGTAATATTACGAGAAGTGTAGGAATAAATGAAGATTTTATTCGTTATTAATATATACACATTTTTATAAAAATTACACCTAATATCATAATTAAGCTTTTTGTCAATTGTTAAAAAAATAAAACTCTTATATAACAAAAACTTATAACAGATGGCAACAATTTCCATTCTTTTTAGTTTGCTTAATACAACTAAAATTATTTATAAAAATAAAAACCAGTAACACCCTGGAAAGTTATGCAACATTCGTTGCTGGATTTTCTATTGAATTCGAATGAGTTAGGTATTTTTTGTAGAAATATATAATTCATTAAAAAAATTGAATAAATAATTGAAAAATTGAATTAGATTGAAATATTTCAATTATTCTATATTAATGCAAACTTTATATTTTATATTGAAGTAATTACATAGGAATAAAACATGGGACCAGAATTACGTGATAACACGTCTGTTAATCTGTTAACTTCAAATACTTTCTACTGAAATTTCCTGGTAGCCTATATATACAATTAAATAGCAAAATATGTTTCTAAAAGAAAATTTATAATTTCTCATTTTATCATTATTTTTCATCGATGTCTGTTAAACAGTTTTATATAAGATGGTGAGTGCCAGACATTTATATTTACTATTATTTGAATTGTAATTAATAATTACTATTGTTGCGTGTAATCAATTTTTCATATATGGACTGTACGTTTCGACACAACTATAAAGATTCTTGTTTATATTGTAGTTAATAGAACACGTGTTTATTGAAAATTTTATTGAGATTTGAAGACAATTTCCATATGAAGACATTTTAACATTAATTCTAAAACTTGACAATTAATCTACACTGAAAAGAAATTTATTTTTACTTGTCTTCAAACGAAAAATATAATTATTATTAGTTACTTTATATTATTATTGCTGTGAGACTTTTTTAAAACGATTTATGTTTCGTGACTATTGGGAATAAACATGTACGTGTTTAAATGATTAGTTCGTCTAAACAAATGTACTTTCGAATGTCGACATAGAAAACGTCGATACACTTGGTCGTACACAATACAGTATAAGCAATCTACTCTTAAACTTATAACAAGGAACAAAGTAATAATTCCAATAATAAAGTTCTTGATTTATGTGTGATCGAATTTAACACCTAACAAAGCATCTGTTAATTAAAATAATCAAAGTAAGTAAGAAATTTTTTGTTTTTCGTCATTATGCTATGTACAATTGATAAGTATAACAAACAAAGATTTAGACTGGGTTAAGACCGAATAAGTCATTGACAAATTAGAATAGCTACTGAGTGTAGGGATTGAAAAACAAGGTGATAATAAGGTGGACAGTAGAGAAAATGTCTTTATGTATTTTTTCGTTCCAAAATATTTATTTTGTAACAGACTAAAGTGCATTTTTAAGAAAAATAATAATGTTTACATTGTAGTCAGTTTATGAATATATTTAAATAACGTTTGATGTATTATATTATATTATTACAAAATTCTATTGTATATATAATTGAGTTCACGTCTGTCTTTCTTGTATCTGATTCAGTATCTCATGAGATTGGCTGAACTGATTTGTATTAAACTTTGTCTGTCTGTTCAGGATAATCTTGAGAAGAATATAGGATATTTTCGAATTCACGCGATTAGTTGTCTGTTCGAGTATCATGTCAAAGGCATGATTTTATTTCAGGCAATAGAATGTTTTTTGACTTTATATTCATATAATTAAAACAGTATACAATTCTTACATTTTCTTTCTTAACACCAGAATTTTTTAGAAATCTTTGCAATATCCATGGGAATAGAACACAGGGTGATATTTCGTTCTGATGGTTGAATACTAAGGTACTATTTAACAGAAGATCCTGTATCAGAAACATTTCGTGAAAAGAATTAAATTGTACTGACATATAACTTATTATACAAATTATTTAATGATATTTGTAGTGTAAACGTTCCTAAATTTTCAGAAAAAGCTTTGTGTTTTAATCGGATTAGTTTATCATTCATTATCATGTGAAAATTTTGGGTTGTTAACCACGTGTTGTACATCGCTTATAAAAGCATGCATTTATATCGTGAAGATTCGATAGGTTTCATATTATGTATAAATATAAATTTATAAACAGTTTTTAATATAAAAAGTATGAACTTCATATTGTGAATTTTTATACACAGGAGAAACTAGGATGCTCCTTCACCTGAAACTCTTAAGCGTAGTAATTTTGTATGGTAATTTTAAAGACGAAGCATGTAAGTAAAATTATTTTCTAAATTATTTTTCTTGATCTGATTCCCAAAGATAATCCACGTCTATAATGATTTAGTAACGTTTACAGAACAATGTTTATACACTTACATTTTGCTATGTGAACAAAAAAAGTTAATGTATAATCCATTAAATACAATTTACAAAATTCAATTTGTGTTACTCTACTTATCCTTTTACAGTCGACTCCCCTATAACACGGTAGATACGTTCCGGTTTTTCTGAATCCATTTTCTACGAGTCCTTAAATACATGAGCCAATCACAGCCCGGCACGTATGCAGTTTACGAACTACAACTGTTTGAAAGGTTTTCTTCCATAAAATTAATCGATTCTAGACTAATTCGACTCAACATTTCCAAAATACGTATAATTTTTTCGGAATAATCCATATAAACTATGCTATAAACAAAAAATTGTAGGATTACTTACCGAGTGTGCACCGTTCGACGACGCCATTGCTTAAGCTTGTTTTCTTCGTGGAGCTTGTCATCGAATGGCCCTCGCGTGCTTCTTGATAAATTATTTTTTTTGCGAAAAATTCGCTGAACTTTGGAGACATCATTAATATAAATATAATTTTTATGGACGTTAAATAATAAATGGTATTTAGTAGGTCGCTGCTCGTTTAAACGCAACGGTTTGTACAATATCCGCTATTGGTCTAGATTCGACCAATCTTGTTGCGACACGAGTCGTCGATGACGTTTTAGCGAATTATACGAGGTTTTTTAGCGTGTTTGTACGAATACTGTCACAATTTTTTCGCCGTGATATAGGAATCCGAACTATATGAACCCGTGTTATAGGGGGTCGACTGTATTATTTTTTTGAAATGTTACAATCCCAGATAACAGATGAATCACACATTTAACAATGATTTTGGAGATCCTCAACAATATTATAGTGTAACTACACTAAATAATAGTCGTTAGACTAAACAATATATAAAATTATTTTTGTATTGTTAAAATGGCTAATTGAATTTTAATACAATTTAGAAATAGAAAAAAACTAAATGTTCTTTACTTCTGTCTTTTATAATCATCAGCAACAAAACAGTTTTTAATTTGTTTTTCAATACCGTTAGCCATTTTCATTTACCATTTATTAGATGTTACATCTAATAAATGGTATTCTCCACGGAGATCTGTTTTCTTTCTGGTGAATAAACACAATAGTAGAAGAGAAGACTTCCTTCTATATTTTCATATTTTTAAACATGCACTGTTTTATTTTCAATTATTTCAGATTAGTCTATAGATAATTGTATTATAACGAGTTCTATGTTCTATGTTCAATATGAGTCTTGCTTCATTCCATTTGTTTTATATAGTTATAACTATTTAAAAGACGTTGAGTAGCACCCTTTTTTGTTGCATGCAGCACCAAAGATTGCTTTAGTGGTCAGATTCGATAATAATTTGATACGTCAATATTTTTTTTTATTATTTTAAAATTGGTTTTTTTTCGACTGCAAAGTAATTTTCAGATACTGTTTAATAGCAGTATTTGAATTAGGCTATTGCCTATTTTTTACATAGCTAAACAAGACATTTGACTATATCGCGATAATACAAACTCGTATTTGTTTCAATTTCTGATTTAATTTTATAAATAAAAGAAACAAGTAAAATAATGCACCTGCATATTTTTTAAATTCATATTGTTTAAAATAGAGTACATGTATTTTTATCTGTGCAATATTTTTAATTACTGATCAATCTGTTTTTATCAATTCGAAGTTTCTTTCTTCTCTTGCATACGGTGCACGCATTATTGAAAATATTATATTTTTCAGGGGAATTATCAAGCAAGTTCATCCAAAAGAATTATATTGTAGAATTTCACTACAATTGGTTCATATATAATAAAATATTGCTGAGGTTCATGTACGAGAATAACAATCAAAGTTTTGTGCTGGGTGGAGAGATTAGAAATTCTACCTTTGTTCTAATAGAAAAGACGTACTTCAAGATAGTAAGTGATAATTATTTTTTACACTACATATGTTTAAATTTTAGATTAGATTGAACCGGTAGAAAAAGCTCTGCTAAGAGAAGATACTTCCTTAAAAGACATTCTATGAGAATCTGGACCCTATTTACGTGTTGCAAACATGACAAATCGAGAAAACTTCACTTTGCCAACAGACTCGAAACCCAAACTGACGACGAACGACTGGTGTTCAGTGACTTTATTTACTTTGTCACTAGTGATCATTCAGAATAATATAGAATAATGTTATACTTAATTAATTGTTAGTTTTAAATAAGTTTTTATCTTAATACTTCAATACTTTAATAACTATATTTTAATCTGGAAACAATCATTATCGTGTTTATAAACATTTAGAAAAGTTTATGAAACACTATATAAATGTCTTTACACTTCAGGAAAATCAAAATTTTACCTGCATTTTACTGAATTTCTAATTTGAGAATTTATTAGCGTATGATACAATGCAGTGTCAAATATAAGACACAGATCGAGTTTGAGGTCTTTTTCAGAAATAGTTACTTCATATATGCCGTGGGGCAAATGTTTTATTAGAGGCTGCTTATCTTCTGAATATGCAAAATAGCACAGAACTTTTCTGTTGATATTGGCACAATCATAAAAATATATGGCTACGAAATGGTCCTGACAAAAGCAATGTTTTCTAACATATTGCATGTTGAGGCATATGAGTGCCCTTTAATAAAATGTGGTTGCCTAAATATTTTTAGAAACAATGTATTCTTACCAAAACTTTTTATTTAGTTTTTTCACGAAGTTTGCTGCCATTCTTATCTTAATATGCCATTCAAATATATGTTCTTCGGAGGATATAATTTGTTTTAAATACAGTAATACCCCGAACTTACGCGATAGGTGGGACCGAGCGATAACCGCGTAAGTCGAATTCGCGTAAGTCGGGGTATAATTTTGCATATAAATACATACAAATAACACAAAATAAATTGTAGCTATATGTCGAACACGTCTGAACATGTAAGCCGAATAATAGTGTGGGGGGAAATGAGTAATTAAGAGTTGCGTGGCGCTCAAACAAAAGACGAATCGACGAGATTTGAAAATTGCGTAACTCCGGATTCGCGTAAGTCGGGGTAGCGTAAGTCGGGGTATTACTGTACATCAGATCGTAAGTCTCGTAGGATTTTGCGCACTGTATACATTGTTTTGTTATGCTTCAGAGTCAAAGAAGGTGTCTGCTTTGCTTATCTTGATATGTTCACTTAACTTTCTGAGTTTTTTTCCCAGATTCATCCGTAAAGCTAATTTCCATTTCGCAATTCTGTCGTCCTGCTTTAATGATTTTGATCTGAAAGGTCTTCCCATGCTATAGATATCTATGAACATTCATTACTAAATTCATTGAAGTGTTCTTTGTACATTATATTTATCTATTATTTTAGATACTACATAATTTTTTATTACGTGCTTGTGTAAATACTGTATATCTTGTTAACTTTTGCACAATCAATAAAACAACAGACATAAAATATTTTTAAAATTTTCTTTTGAAATGTCGAGATGCAGAAATTTGTAAAGTACTTAAAACTTTTGACCATGGGTTGTATAATAGAGGACACAATGCTTCAAGGACACAATGTCTAGTTCCATGTTGCGGCCTCTAATAAACAGTGACATTATATAAGCTACGCTTATTACACGTATTAAAATGAAATAAATTATGGTTGCATTATGATAACAATATTAAGATTTGAAGCCACGATACAAGTATGGGAATCCGGAGTAAAGAGATGATGCTCTTATCCTGTCAGTGGATGGAAACTTTTTCGATAGAGGAAGCAGGTAGGACCTTCCTGTAATATTTGACACAAGACAAATTAACCCGTTTGGCCTGCGATATGAGGTTCCTATAATTTTATTTGGAGTGAAGGACTCGTGGACTCCCGATAAATCGTCTGCATATATTTTATACGCAAGAACAAGTATTTAAACAAAATAATAACAGAGTTTAATTATAACTACGAAGACAAATACGAGAAATTAGAATATATTTTATAAATTAATTCTTAACGTTCCTGGATGATCACGAGAGAGAGAGAGTTTACAAATTTCAGGATATAAGTGATGTAGATGTTGAAGAAGTTCGGGAGACGGTTTTGACGGAGAGGTTGGAGGAGAACGGCTTCGAAACGGTAGCCCTTTTTATTCGTAAATCTCCTGTAATAGGGTTTAATGATTTGTATCATCTGAAGGAATGTATTGATGACTCAAACTGCCAGATGTTTGTCTTAATATCTGGTTAAAGAAACTTATATTTTCCCTTTTCTCACAAACGATACAAAATGTGTCACTTTCTTAACGGAAAAATTTATTTTAGTTTATGTAATTACAGTCGACCCCCTATAACACGATAGATACGTTCCGGTTTTTATGAATCCATTTACTACGAGTACAGCCAATCACAGCCCGGCATGTATGCAGTTTACAGACTACAGCTGTTTGAAAGGTTTCTTCCATAAAATTAATGGATTCTAGACTTATTCGACTCAACATTTCCAAAATACGTTTAATTTTTTGGGGAATAATCCATATAAACTATGCTATAAACAAAAAATTGTAGGATTACTTAACGAGCGTGCACCGTTCGACTACGCCATTGCTTAAGCTTGTTTTCGTCGTGGAACTTGTCATCAAATGGCGCTCGCGTGCTTCCTGATAAATTTTTTTTTTGCGAAAAATTTGCTGAACATTGAAGACATCATTAATATAAATATAATTTTTATGGACTGTAAATAATAAAGGGTATTTAATAGGTCCGCTGCTTGTTTAAACTCAACAGTTTGTACAATATCCGCTATTGGTCTAGATTCGACCAATCCTGACGCGACACGAATCGGCGATGACGTTTTACCAAATTATAGGAGTTTTTTTTAGCGTGTATGTACGAATACTGTCGCAATTTTTTGGCCGTGATATAGGAATCCGAACTATATGAACCCTTGTTATAGGGGGGGTCGACTGTATTTAATAAAATTATTATTTTTCTCCAGAATCTCATACAAGTTATGGAAGGGTAGTATAAAAATTTTACGTATACTGTACTTTTAATTTTAAGATTTATTATATCACAGTACTTTATTTATGATCCAATGAATAGAAAGTCTTACATTTCTGTATTAAATTTGATTTCAGAATTGGTAAAATTTACAAATTTAACAATAATTTGATATGTAATTCAAACATCAAATGTTAACTTCAAATGTTTATTTATTTGTAAAGTGTAACGACAGTGACATGACAAGCTGCAGCATGTATTACACAAGTTCAGATTATAAAATCGAAAAATTAAAAGGAAAAGAAGTGAAAATATTCAAAATGCCTGTAAGTATAAGAAATTTTACTAATTGTTACCATGAAGTTAAAATAAAAATTTTGGTACAAACTTGCATTATATCTACGTACAAAAAATAGAACGAAAGTAGATTTTCAACAACAAATACGTATAACAGTCATCGGTATAATATTTACACTGCACAATACTTTACACAAAAATCACTATACATTATTATAAAACATACTAAATTGTATACAGGCAGTAAAATTCTAGGCACGTTTGCTCTGAATTCTTATTATGTAATTGGCAATATCTCCTGTAAAAATAGTTTCGCACACTAAATACCCATCACCTGCATCTACAGCGAATATGCTTTAACATTTACTGCTAATTTATGAGATCATAACAGTTATTTTTATATTTTAATTAGGGATTAAAGGGCTTACAAGATAGCGACGCTCGACGTTCGATGTTCACGTTTTAATAGAGGGGTTGCGGCCGAAGTTTTTATCTTTAGAGAGGTTGTGGTCGACGTTTTCATCGCGAAAACGTGAACGTCGGACGTTCAGCGCCGCCATCCTGTAAGCCTAGAAGTTTGACAATGGCGTTTGGAACGTCGCTCATGATTCCACTGACGTTCCAAACACCATTGTCAAACTTCTAGGCTTACAGGATGGCGGAGCTGAACGTCCGACGTTCACGTTTTCGCTATGAAAACCTCGGCCACAACCTCTCTAAAGATAAAAACTTCGGCCGCAACCTCGCTGGAAACACATTCATTTCATATCAACAAAATTATATCAGTCAACATTTGAGAAATATATTTTTCATACTTTTCTTCAATTCGCTCATAAAGTTCTCTTCTATGTAATAATGAATGCTGTAAATTATCAATGGAGGAGACAGTATTACATGTAGTACCATTTCTGTAGTTGCAATGAACAGTTAAAATGGCCGACTATAATTAAACTTTTATAATGCTTTTAACATGCTGTATGATTCTGATGAATGATAGTATCAAACTGAATGTAATACTCTACAAAGCTGCCAAATTTCCAATATTTGTACTGTTCCCACAGATTAACCTGCCTTTTTATTCTTACTTGGCTACTAGTTTTTCAAAAAATGTCATTTGCATATCCACAAACATATTATATTAAATTTAAAATTGAATAGTAATAATTCAGTTACTATTACCTAGTGTACATAATATAATTTTTAAGATGCACTTTCACAAATTAATAAAGATTAATTTGTATTTCAATACAGGATGCCTACAAAAATATAAATAATAAGGCACAATTGGATGAATATGTCAATCTACTTTGCCAATGTTTAAAAATAAGGTTTGTTACTTAATTTAGGTATCTATATATGTTATTTATTTATTTAATAATAAATTTTTTCAGGTATATACAAGTTTATAACTTGGATAACGCTGACATTTCGATAGTACCTACAATTGCCATGTTCTGGGAACATTACGTTTCTTATTCTTCTCCTGTATTTGACATATCAACTTATTTTGTCATCAGAGCAGCAAGACCAATCGATAAGTTCATTTCCTTGATCAAGCCTTTTTCCATAAACGTAACTTTTTTAATTATGTTATACTATTTTCGAAATCTTAATTAGTGTATATAACAATTACATACCTAATAATGTAACAATGGAAAATATGGAAATATAAAAGAGAATATAAAATATACTAGAAATATATTTTATATTTCAGATATGGATATGCATTTCCATCACAACTGTGTTATGTGTTTTCATCATACATACCATGTTGAAAAGAGAAGCTCAATTTTTAGACAAGGAGCATCCAAAATTTTCATCTCTCTGCTGGATATTAATAAGAAATGCTTTTCGTCAAGGTGGGGAAAACAGATCTTTAGCGCATATTTTATTAAAATAAGTAAAATATACTTTCATGCACTTTTGAATACATTACAAATGCAGTTAGTTACACCAAACTATTTACACATAAAGTGCTCTGCAGCTTTAAGTAATGACCACAATGGCACCAAAATTTGTATTTGTACCTGTTAAAGAATCAGGTGTAATTTTATAAATTATCCAACAGAACATTGACTTGAAAAAGAAGAAGAAATGAGAAATATATTGGTATTATTTCTCATTTCTTCTATCATTTACTCATTTACTAATATGGTATTGGTAAATGAGTCATATTGGTATAAGGTTTATATTGGGGCCGGATTTATCGACCACGTGTTTCTAATCCACAACACTAATCCCTATTTAGTAATTATGTACTACACATACATAAATATCACTCATGAGAAACTTGAGTAAAAGTTTTTTTCGTTTATTTTTCTGGCAGATACGGAAATTGATCACATTATTCTCCGCACATTTCGAATTCTGATTGGATGTTGGATCCTAGCGGTATTTGTCCTTACTTCAGCATATACGGGAGTTTTGCCTTCCTACTTAATTCATCCAGGAAATGAAAAAATTCCCAAAAATTATATGGAATTGACACAATCGGTAAAAGATGGAAAATATAACATTAGTATGACTTTCTCCTCTGATGAAGAAGCAATTTTTTTAATTAATGGGGTATGTAAATTATTATTTATATAATTCTGTATTCAATATACAACTGAAAATAATTTCAATAATTTAAAAAATAACAATGTATACTCGATATTTTAACTTGTTATTTGATATATTGCATTTCATAAATATAATAATTTATCATTTTTTACTGATAAATATCTAATTGTATTATTTTTTACTATTAGCGGAAATTACCCGCTATGTTTCAGATATTTTTAAAAAGTATTGAAGAAAATCCAAACAATAGGGTAATATTAGGTAAAGGCAATGAACTGCAGAAGGTTCTTGAAGGAACAGATGCGTTACTTGCAACAAAATTAAGGATTGATCCTTTAACAATGAAATTTCGTAAAGAGAATTTTTACATTTCACCAGATTCTCTTTTCACTAACTTTCGCTTCCTGCAGATAAACAAGCTTCGACTTTACCAACAAAAAGAGGTGTTTGAGATGTAAGTAATTGTAACCGATATATTCTAATGCAATTTCTCTAATTTCTTATATACAATTTTCAGGATAAATATCTTACATCAAAGTGGATTATCATTGAAACTGCAACAAGATCTTATAGAAGAAGATCGAAGATATTACAAATTTAATTCTTATGATGACAAAGAAGATGAAGAATCTCTGAAAGTGGAAGATCTCAAAGGACCATTGATTTTGTTAATAATAGGATATATTCTTTCTTTATTGGTGTTTATTGGAGAAATTTTGATTGGGAAATGTAAGAAAGGAGGAATTCTTCCATTAATTTAATATTTATTTACATATTTTAAACAGTTTAATAACTTACATTTCACACAAAGTATTCAATGGCTTTACTACTTTTGAAACTAAACACATTAATAATGCTCATTTATTCATCACAAAATAATTCATATTATTTAATTAGTCCCAGCTATATTGACACTAATACAAAAATTATTAGTCACATTTCATTGTAAGTTTTTTAAAATGAGTGGCACATAATATAAAAGCTTTGACATTGTTCAAGTTATTATTAATATAATTTTATAGATGTTAATATTTTTTATGAGGATTTTATTATTAGAAATGCATTAAATTTTTATCGTCATCTGTTGGAGATTGCCTGCAATTTTGTATTTGATAAATGCATTCGAATATTGAATTAAAACGTTTCAAAATGTCACAAGGATTATGGTAAAAATTGCAAGAATATAGAAATAAATAGAAGAAGGCTGTAGGGTCATTAAAATTGCTGTTTTAGTGAACCGATCTACTTTTGGAATTTATAAAATTTTAGGAAAATCATTACCAAATCTCATTTAATCTCATTTAACATCGGCCAGAAAGAATCAAAATCATGTCTTAATTAAAGAGAAGAAAATCGATTTCTGCGTTTTTGCATAACAATGGGAAAAAATTTGACAAATCAATTTGATTTGTCAAATTTTTTTCAAAATGAATTTAAAATTAGTGTTAATAAAAAATTTACAGCAACTGAACATTTGAAATTTCTTGCAATGATGAAAAACCACTGCTTACTGCTAACTAACTAAACAACACAAATTGATAAAAATGCAGTGGGCTAAAGATCGCATGCTGTGGAATGACCAATGGCTCTCGGTTCTTTTCAGGGATGAAAAGAAAATTTGGATGGGTCGGATGACATTTTTTTGTTGAATTGTTATTTGAAACCATTCTATTAGAATGGTTTCAAATAACGAATTTCGAATAAAGATTATGTGAATAATTCGCGTTAAAATACTTTTATTTTGATACAATTACTTTATAAATGAATCAAATTTCGAACTATACAATCTGATTTGAAATAGGCTATATATTTTAAGTTAATTATTTGAATTAATTTAAATGGAATAAAATTTACCAGATACATTACATAATTATTCGATAGTTTTTATTTCTAGAAACATTTGATTATAATATAGTAAATGCTCTTTACTGTCAAATAAGACTATGGAATAGGAGTCGTTGTCGGGAGGAAGTGGCTTGCCCCTGTAC